TTTATTTTATATATGATATTTTTAATCTCTTATAAATACGAATTAAAAAAAATAATCTTCATTTAACTTTAGGTTATAACATTTTATTAGTTATGTTACTTGACTGTTAACATCCGTTAGCATTTCATTATAAAAAGACATAAAATTTAAATTTAATTTTATTTGTTAGTTTTATTAATGAAATATTAACGAATGTTAACAATCAATTAACAGAATTAACAGTCAACTAACAAACCTGACAGTCAGCTAACAGAACTGACAATCACTAACAAAACCAATAAAACATTATAACCTAATATTAAATAAAAGTTAATTTTCTTTAATTCGTACATATAAAAAGTTAAAAAGGTCATAATATAAAATAAAAGGTTAAAACTTACCAATTTTATAAAATAATGAATTAAAACTTATCAATTTTATAAAATAAATAATTAAAAATGTCATATTATAATTTTTTTTTTTTGACCAGGTAGATAGTTAAGAAGTTAGTAAAGTTAGTTTGTTAACAGCTGTAATTTTTTCAAGAAAGTGAACGTTCCACCCCTCATTTGAGACGCGCGACCATTAGATCGCAAGTTGGTGAAGTTCACGGTGGCAGAGCTCGAAGCCCTGCGTTCCGCCTCATCCAACCCCTAAAGCTTGGGGCAACAAATTGGGTACAGCCCGGTTGGCGTCGTATTATAAAATTAAAAAAATATTAATTTTGTACTCTAAAAGACTAAAAGTTGATTTTAACCCGCCAACGGGGCCGCATGTAATCTGATGAGACCCCTTTACTCCATGTGGCTGAGGATTAATTTTTTCTTTTCATTTTATTTCTTTTTACTTTTGTTTTTTATTTTTGGTTTATGTAATGAAAATACTGTTTTTTAGGTAGAGATTAGAGATTAAGGTTGTGTTTAAAATTATTGTAAATTATTGTAGTTATAATTTTGTTAATTTTTTATTATGAAAAAATTATATTATTGTTTAATAATTATTTTAAAAATAATTATATATATTAATATAACTATTAAACTATAAAAAATATCAATTAAAATTAATTTAATAATAATAAATTAATAGTTTTACAAAATACCATGTGAAATGTAATCTCAAACACTACTTAAATTCTAAACTTATAATTAAAATTACAAATAATTCTATCAATAGACCATATAAATTATGATTGTAATGATAATATTGTAATTATATGATTGGAATGGGGTGAATTTGGACTTTTTTCCCTTGTTTTTTCGATGAAAGCAAAAAAATATCAGTAATGCTATGTCACGATATTATATAAAATTATAAATTTATAATTTTTGTGACATTTAATGAAATATGATTGATATTAAATAAATGAGTACATTCAATATCATGAGTGAACTTGTAAATGAAAAAAGCTAACGCTACAAAAAAAAAACAAACATTCTTTGACAAAAAATTAGTTACAAAAACTCATATTTTTGTCATCAATTAAATTTGTATCTAAAATTTAAGTTTTTATGATTAATTCTATTATTCGTAAAATAATTATTTTGTTGTAATGTAATTATATAATAATACATTATATCATATATTTATAATATCAAGAGAATATTTATTCCCCGTCTAATATTAGAACATAATAATTCATGTAAGATTCTGTCCTGTATTTTATTCATGTAATAATGTTGTGATGCATGAGACGAATCTTTCTTTTTCTTTACTTTTTAATTTTTAGACGAAAGAAAATCAAAAGGTTGATGGAAATGGAATATACGGGCCACCCTCTTTTCTTCTTCTTTTTTATTTTCCATTTTTTATTTTTGTCTTCTTTTGGGAACAGGGAAAAATATGTGGGGTGTAGGAATGCAATGGATGATTGTGGAACAGAAAAGAGACTTGGTGTCCAAGCAGCTGCTCACAAATGTATGTGGTTACTGGGCTGGTCTACGAGTTATAGTCAAGTTAATAATTTAAAATGACCAAGACGACGATGCTCACAAAGGGGTGTGGCCACTGGCGGGTCTACGAGCTAGTCAAATTAATAATTTAAAAAGACTGAGACGACCAAAGTCTCTTCGTCGTCGTAACAATTTTACATAAACGCTTCGAAAGCGTAAAATTCTTAGTAGTTACTTATTATCATTTTAAAAATAATTATATTTGATTTAAAAAGTTAATTGATTATAAATTTTAGACAAGATGCACTTTCAAATCTTACGTTTTATATTGAAATCTCTCGTCTTCTAAATTTATACTTATTCAAAAAAATATATATATATATATATATATATCAAAATCAATTGATTCACAGCACAATTTTAATACTCAAAACTCCAATAACAATTCTATAAATTTATGCAGGCTTCTTGATCAATTCTTGAAGAAAAGCGGAAGGGGAATGAAGATTAAGCCATAAAATGATGGTATTAATAGTTGAATTGAGGGATCAACGACTTATATAACTCAGTGATTATTATTATTTTTTTGTTAAAAGTAAAAAATCTTAATTTTAAATTGTATTACATGCAGGTGAAATAGAATAAAAAATGAGAGATAATTATATTTTATTATACAATCAAAATAAAAAAAAAATAATCGGGTTGGGAGGAGGGATAAGAAAGCTTCAGATTTAAAAGTTGAGGTTGAAGCAAGGGGGCTCTTTAATTTGAAAGTGAAGTTCATTCACCCAAAAGTAATTTACTTACCAAGTGATAACAGACAGGAGCATATCTTGTCCAAGATTTTCTTTTCATTGTTAATTATCACACAAACAAATCCCAACACAGAACCGAAATTCACTGAAATTAAAACCAAATTTATATGCAATTCCGATCACCCTTTTTCGAATGGTGGTGGTGATCAAAATTTTTTTATACGACAATGTCGTCGCTTTCACTAGCAGGATACTGTCCCACTGTTGAGAAAGTATTTATGATCAACCAATGTTCTTCACTTCAGGTTTTCTTTCGTTTTCAATGAAGATCGTGTTCGATTACAATTCTATATCACAAGGTACAGGACTCAATTAAGCTGTGCTGCTAGAAAAGGTGTAGATATTATCAACATTTCACATCAAAGCATAGCCATGGATCCCCCAAAACGAAGCTTATTGTCCGAGTACAAACAACATAGGATGTTTCCTAGTGTTAGCATATATGTTTCTCTGTTTATTTGGATCATTTCGAGTGTATTTGTATAATTCTATCATAAAAAATGAGTTATATAGTTTAAAATATATTAGTCTATACCATTTAAATTATTAAATTATGAAAGAATCTTTTAATATTAAAAAATATTTTTTTATTTTATAATTTTTATTTTATAATTCAAACAATAAAATAAAAAAAAATCTTGTACCATTAACAAGAAACTCTTCTATCATTCATTGATGATACCCATGTACATATAGGGCAAGATTAGGTGAAATTGGCCCTTCAAGTATTTAAAGGGAAAAGTGTATTTATTTGGTTAACACCTTCCAATTCCAAGCTTGGTCCAGTTAATATCTGCTTTATTTAAAAAGGCAGCAACCAGGAAGGGAGAAAAAGGCAAAAAAAGGTGCAATTCTTCTGGACATTTTCACATTAATTTCATTTTAACACTTTTTTCACATGTTATTATATAGGAAAGATATAAACGCCATACTTTTCAAGAGAATAACGATGAGTACGTAACAGTTCTTTTTTGGTACTTATCATCTCCAGAAGCTAGTATTGATGCAGCTTCGTTGTACTGTATTTTCACCACAGATTTGAGATATATTTATATATACGTACAGTATGTACCTAGGTACATACCAGTCGGTTTGGGTTTGGCTGCCTCTACAACATTTTCTTTCCTTGAAGCAACTAGTTATATGGTGTTTTTCATGAGAATACTAATCGATATTTACTTTGATTTAATAAATTGTATAATATATTTATTAAAAATTATTTTTATTTAAATTAAAAGTAAACAAATTTAAAAATAAAAATATACACATAAAATATAAAAATTGATTAAATTAGTTACATTTATATTATATTTTTAATGATTAAACTAAATAAATATTAAAAAATATGTCAAACTAAATATATATCAATCATTTCTCTTTTCATGATTATGAATATTTAATATACAATACTATAATTTTAGTTTTTTTTTTTTTCCCTTCATGCTCGATGTTTTGATTTATGACCTTAACAAATAAATTGTATGCGATACACATATTGTCAATTAACTTTGAGTGGAGTACCATAGAGTTCATAGTCTATTGGACGTATAAGGAACTAGAACACAAGACATGGATCGATTGTATATAAGGGATGACACCAACGATTTATTTATTCGAATGAAA